AAATGAGACGCAGTGGGAAAATATGCGGTGGAACTATACTTTTGGGACATTGTCAAAGTGAGAAATTTTCAAAAAATAAAGAAAATTGAAGTTGCTCTGGAAAGTTAGTTCTCGGTGTTGGCATGCAAATTGGCACTGGTAATTACCACATTTTCTATCTAGAGGCTTTTTTGAAAACGTCGTGTAGGGCGGATATTGTGAGATTTATGGGTGGATCTATACTTATGGGACGCAGTGCTTTCCCACTCGCTGACGCCGGGCGCTGCCGCAAAATATGAACGCAGCCTTACAATGCCATTTTCTTGACCCCTGACGACTTATGAGTGTTGTGCGTGCGTGGAGTTGGTGCTTTTTGTTGTTATTACAAGTGATACCAATCAGCCGGTCGGTGCCGGGAGAAGCGGTATGAGCCATCCCCGGCTGCTTTTTCTACCAATAGTAACCGGCTAGGAGTGGTCGAATACGCCGCGGCTGGGCTCACTCCACGCGTGCCCCGACTGATTGCGTTGACATCAACCGTACATACCTGTCGGACTATAGACCGCAACTCGTCTTCGATCAGAGCTGGAGGAAACTGGGAATAGCTGGACGACGTAGGAGCTCGTGCTCGAAGATAAGAACGTAGATCACCTAATAACATATGAACTACTATATGTTGCAAGGTTTACATAAAAAGCCGAACCTTTCTAAAATATACTTACCTAAATTCATATGCTCAAAGACTAGTAACAAACATTGTCCATCGCGAGTCATGCCATATAACCGGACCACATTTGGGTGTTCGAGCCTCGACAGAACAAGAGCCTGAATTTTCAGTATTTAAGCTCAACTGTCGGACGTACTTGTGCATCCTTCATAAAGTCGTTTCCCTTGAAGACGCTGGGTTGTGGCATGGGCCTGGGTTTGACGAGGCGCTATCCCATTTTTCTTCGTGTGCTGCCGCTTGCCCGCTCCAAAAATTGGTGAAGAAATGAAAGAAATAAATGGTTGGCGCTGGACCAAAGCCTTTCCTCTCGCACGCCCCAGGGT